TCACCAGCAGCAGTAAACAGATTTATATCGCATTTCAATTAAAGGGTATCATTAGAAACGATATGTACAAATAATTAACTTATAATTCCGAGATTCGTTTAGGTAAAAAGAATTATCCGATAAAATTTGTTTTGTTTTTAAAGAGTCTAGTATGAAGAAGCATTTAGAATGTAACTTTTAAATGGAACGTTCATAAAAAATTAAAAATAAATTTAAATAAAAGCGTGTGATGCAACTGTACAATTATACACACAATTAACATTATTTTGCGATGTGAGAACTTCTAAAAATGGATCACCAAACAAAAATGTTTGGATAATGTGTGAACACAAGTGTAAGGCAGTTGCGCAAACACTAACCGGTCTTTGCTCGGAATGGCCCAGTGGTGATCCAACAAACTCTTGCGTCGCTCCTCAAGGGTGGAGCGAGTGCTGGAGAGGCCCAGGTCGGCCTTCTTGTCTTCATCGTCTAGAGCGTCAGTCTTAGCGCTATCTTTGGCTTCCGTAGAAGAGTCCTGAAGAAAATCGATGGGGAATTAGTTGGAACCCACGAATAATATGATTAAAATGCCTTACCTCCACACGTTCGCGGTCGAAGGCTTTGGGAAACGCGTCCCCATCGCGTCCAGTGCTGGAGCAAAGCGACTCTTGGTCGTCTGCAATCTCCAGCGATCCTAGTTCTACAGTTATTAGATAAGAAAAACATTAGTAAGCGAATTTTTGCTGAAGAAGAGAAATTTATCACTGTTTCTATACTTCTGTTTCCGATCGATCTTAGACAAGCTATGCAGTTTATCTTCTTACACGAATTTGTATTGGAGTGAAAGAAACTTGATTATAGGAATGACCCGAACTTACCGTCCAAGCGCTTATTACCGTCTTCGCCCAGCAGCGGCTGCTGCTCGGATAGCTCCTTAGAGTCTTCTTCGACTAATACTGGTTTGGGATAGTAGATCTCCGGCTTATCTGCGTCACCCGGGCCGGAGTTCAGGCCCTGTCCTGCTCCTCCGGCCACTCTCATGTGCGCAATGTCGTGGAAGATGGCGGCGTTGACCACCAGCTCCATTGGCGCAATGACGCCGTAGCTCTCCGGGCCGTGCTCGATGACCAGGGGATCACTGACGTTGGGATCAAACATAACGGCGTTGGGCGTGACCAGGAGAACGCCTCCCACCACGCCTTGTCCGTCCGTGATGTGGCGCACATTGATCTTGAGGAAGCGCTGGGTGATCACCGGGTCGTCACTTTTGTTGGCCTCCTCCTCCGCCTGCTGCTGGCTACTGCCGCCCACGCGCTCGATGTGTCCCGGTTTTGGGGATCCAGGGCGCAGGCCCTCGAGTATGTCTGCAAGGAGCGGCATTTAGTTATATTTACTGGTTATGCAGAAAAACGGCATTTAGTTATTATATTATGTATATTGGGCGCAAGTGGGTTTCGGGTGCTTTTGCTGGACTGTGATTTTATCAACGACACCCGTTGCCGCGATAAGATTGTGAAAGCAAAATTGATATATGGGATAGTTTAAACTAAATCTACGCCTTGTGACCTTCTTTGTTGTTGTAACTGTTACGAACAGTGCATGGGAACGGCATTTTAACGCTTTTCCTAGTTAGTTGGGTGTGTAAGGTGATGCCGTAAAAATAATGCCTAAAGGGTGCAGCTTTAACACAGTGTCACCGGATTGAAACGATTTTAGAAAAAGGGGTTTCAAAATAGCTAAGACTAACTTGGTAGTAAGATTTAACATTCATGGTTACGGTGTAGTACAACTAATTTGTATAGCTGGTTCTAACTAATTCTAACTAAACGTCGTGCAATCCTTTGAATCTTTTAGTGGCATGGGCGCCCAGCTTTCAGGTACAACTGCTCCATCACCCACAACAGAGATGCGGTTTTCAGGGATACAGAATGACAACGCGATCCTTGCTTGACCGCAGATTTTTTTCCGGAACACCTTCAACTTCAAGGCCAAAAGTTTGTCAACCGCAATTAGCACTTATTCGCAGATCGGAACGACAACAAATGTAGGAAAAACAAACAATAACCTCCATTGCGCCAGAAGACAGCAGTGTGCATGCTGAAGCTTAGGATCTTGAGTACGTCCCCGCGCACTCTACGTCGTGGATTATCCGGCTTTCAGTACGTGGCTTTCGGCACTCGACCGATTCGATTTTATCGTCTTTTCAATGTGAAAAACAGCGAAAAACACGTTCTATGAAATAGAAAACATTGGCCAGCAGTGTGACCGCAGCTCGGTTCTTCATATATACCTCACGTCACGGGAATATACTGAAATATTCTCGTTAGTAGTAGGGGTATTCCTGAAAGTGCATATCTTTGCTCTTGGGAAAAGTAGCAACCGAAATTCGTGAAGATTACAATATGATGTTAAACATTAATTTGCCATCTGAAATTCATCAATTAACACATGCACATTTTTTTGTTTACTAATAATAAATATAAACAATTGAATGTGGTTACTTCCATGTTACACCTAGCCCTTCTTTCTATAATTACTTCTATAGCAATTAACTATTAACTAACTAATACAATTTTTTGAGATCTTCGAGGGTGAAATAGTTTTTTAAAGTATTTTACTTTTAAATGTAAATTATATGGAATTGTTTGCTGAGTTTTTGCAGATGACTCAAATTTGTTCAATTTTTCCAGACATTATTAGGAAAAAGACGTAGTTTCAATAAATAAAATAAAATAAAATACGCGAAATGCAACTAATCGAGCGTTGAGGTATATACATAAATGTATGCAAATGTGGACTTCTAAAGGCGATCCAAAAAGCAGTAAAAGAACGCAATGCAGAGTTTCTCAAAATAGGCACAGCCATGGAAAGCTCGCGCAACAAAAAACTCAAGCGGCGATGATGGCAAACGCTTCACTATCGACGCACCAATTGCACCATTTCCACGGAGCAGCGCCTGGTTAGCTTCCGTTCTTACCTTTCTCGCGGCTCTCGTCCCCGGACAACTTGCGCTCGACCGGACTCGATTTGCCGGACAGGCTGGCCCCGTCTGCGTCGTGGGTGGAGCTGCTGGAGGCGTCGTCCTTGGCGCTCTTGTCCGGCACCAGCAGCTGCTGGCCCGGGTAGATGAAGGAGCTGTTCAGCCGGTTTAGGTGGGTCAGCTCCGAGGGCGTGGTGTCGAACCGGGCGGCCACGGAGGTCAGGGTGTCGCGATTGCCCACGGTGTAGGAAATGGTGGGTATGGTGGGCAATGAAGACTTTTGCCCTGTGGAACGAAAAGAAATAATAATTAATAAGGGTAGCGCTGGAGCCACGTCTTTGCAGCTGTTTACTCGGAGGATCTGGCTCTTTACGGACACGCTGCTGGAAGACCTCGAAAAGGGCGTCATCGGGCCGCAGGTGCGAGTAGATCACACCTGTGGGCGATACGTGCTGCCGGTAGAGGTAGATAACCGAAAACTCCTTGGTTGGCAGGTGCCAGTATATCTCAATCTCTTCCACCATTTCTGGCCTGGCATCACAAGTTTATTCTATCCCTCAAAGTGCTGGTTCATCTCTTTTTCTAACTGTCACAGCAATCTGCGCGCATTTTCAAACACTAAAATTCTGCAACCGAGCCGAGCGGAACTCAAAGGCCAAAAGACAAAAAGACAATCGCGGCCAAAACACGGTGTTATCAAGCTAACGATTCACTTTGATATGGAAAGGAGCGATAAGAATAAGTTTATAGGTAAACAAACCCGTTTGGCGCTCAATATTCTGCAGTGACTCAGATAACGATCGATAACCGCAAAGGTCATCAATCGATGTTGCCCCTTAGCCCTTATGTTTAGCTTTAGCGTAGTAGATAAATTTTGTTTTATTTGTAGTCAAATGGTTGGCTTAGTGCCTAATGAACTGTATTGCGAAAAATATAAACTGTTTTAATAAATCAGATTTGGGATTCTGTAGATTTGCGATTAAAATATTAATAATTTTAGAATTAATTAAAACTGTATTATATTTTGATGAGAAATGTAAATGATATTTGGTAAAGAGCTATCTTGCCTAGTTGCTTTTGATTTAAATCAAAATGTTGTCTTCCTTCGCAATCATACACAAATTTTACACAGAGTAGGAACTTCAGCGGCACCTGGCGGCAGAATACCCGACCCAATTCATTGAGAGACCTCTAGCGTAAACTTGATAAATCGACACAAATTTTACATTCTGACTTATTAGATAAGTTTGACGAACTATTTAAATTGAAAATTGCGGATACAAGGGCTTAGGTCGGGCAAGGTAATAAGTATTAGTTTTGAGAAGTACAACAAGATTATTATACAATTCGGGAGGGTCGCCTTACATCTGCATACGTCTGTTGTTCCCTAACCATTTTAATTCCCACCGAGCCTCATCGGTTCAACGCGTTCTAATTAAGTGTTTGTTGGAGGACTCGTGAAACACTTACTTGATAGTTTGTCGACGCTCTCAAAGCGCTGCTCTACTTTGGAGCGCAGCGAGTCCAAGTCGAATGGAGCCGCAAGGCCGTGATCCACGCTGCGCGATTTGCTCCTGGAAAAAGTCAGAAATCGGTTGTAAAATCGGTGGAGAACGGAATATTTGGGCTTGTGGCGATCGGACCGCAATCTGTTGCGATCCTTATCACTTACAAATTTCCAGCTCGAATTGTGACCATAACCGGGTAATAACAATTTATTTATTGGCGGCCCGTTTGCCTTTTTTATGCAACCTTTTTGTTGTGCATTTGCTATCGTTTTGTAATGATTATCTTGACGATCAGCTAGTGTCCAAATACGGCAAAACGACGCATTACAAATGTTTTTTTAAACGATTCTTTAGATGTTTTTTTTTTAGATTAGCCTTTAAACGTTTGGCGAGAAGTCACGATTTTTCATGTGACTTGTCCTTAAGTGTTGATAGAATTATCTCAGAAAAGCATAAAAATATTTGTTGTGAAGGAAAACCCATTTGTCGAGTGTTTCTAATTTCTGATCTCATCTCAAAAAAATACGCTTTGAAGCAGGCTTAGACTGGGCAATCTATCCTGAATCCTATAATAAACTAAAATGGCGGAGTACAATCGGGAGCCTTGTCCCTTTCGCATAGTCGAGGATTGTGGTGGAGCCTTCGCAATGGGCGCCTTGGGCGGAGGAGCCTTCCAGGCGATAAAGGGGTTTCGAAACGCTCCCTCCGGCCTAAAACACCGATTGAGCGGAGGACTTTCGGCGGTACGGGCTCGATCCGGCCTGGTGGGCGGTAACTTTGCGGTATGGGGCGCCACTTATAGCGCCATCGACTGTTCCCTGGTTCACTTCCGGAAGAAGGAGGACCCGTGGAACTCCATAATTAGTGGGGCAGTCACCGGGGGCATTCTAGCTGCTCGAACTGGTGAGTTTTCGACATTTCATTAATCCCTTCCTACTTTTTTGTCTTGTTTTTATTTCTGATGAACTTTTTTGCTATTAATTGTTCTCAAACCGGCATTATAATCATCTCGAGAGGTAGTATAAAAGTTTTCTTTGTTTTGTCATTCGGAAATAGCTAGTGTAGATATATTTGAATCTCTCTTCCCCAGGACTAACCTCCATGCTCAGTAGTGCTTTGGTGGGCGGAGCTCTTCTGGCCCTTATAGAGGGCGTGGGCATTGCGGTGTCCCGTTACTCGGCGGATTCCTACCGCCAGGTGTCGCCCGTCGAGCGGCAGGACTTTTATAAGCAGGAGCTTTTACGGCAGCAAAAGGGCGTTTCTCCTTATGAAGGGGTAAGTGAATCTCCTGCGCAATAGTATCTATTTTTGCGCCACTCGCACTCTTTAATTCCAGATTGATTCTTCGGCATTGTAGAATTCCTCGCTGCGTCATCGCCTGGTCGTCGCTAGCCATCCGCGAACGTGGATCGACGATTGCATACCAATTTATAAAAGATTGCTTTGATTGTTCAAATCTGATACTGGCGGCATTCCCATTTCAATTTAAATTCAATTGTCGTACAGTGCAAGTTTTAGAATCATTAATATATTTTCCTTTTCGTTTCTTGTTTGGCTCGGCATATTTATACCCACAGACTGAAGTCCAGCCGAAGTGTTGCGGCTTTTTGAGAGGCGCGTGTGCTTGGTAGCTCCATAATTGAAATTCCATATTTATTTTGAATCAAGCCGGAAGGTTAATGTAGTTGGCCAGCAGGAATTATTTCAGTACCGCCTCGATAAATGATCAGATTGGCTCTTACATAGATGAGCACGGTGTTCGCACCCAAACCTCAAACTGAAATTTCTAATACCCTTCATAACAGATAAAAGGTAAAAAGAAGCGTTTCCCGCATATACATTTCTTATTTGTCTTGCCTACAATCGATATGCCAACATTTTGAAATTATTGCCCCACACTCCCATCAGATAAGTCACTGGTATCTGATAGTCGAGAAACTCGACTATAGAGTTCGCTCTTGTTGTTATCTATTGTCATGCCGAAAAAAACCTACTCAACTATATAAAATTACATTTTTATACCGTGGAGTAAAAGGGTAAACTAGTAATCGGGTAGCTGATAGTTGAGGAACTCGACTATAGCATTCTATCTTGTTTAAATTTAAAATTTAATCGTTCCTGTTTTAAATTGTTGGAAGGACTCATTTTTCTTACACATTTTCTGCACTACTTTCCTTTTCCTGCTCTCACACATGACCAGTTTTTTCTATTATTGCGTTCCCGTTTGATTGGGAAAACTAATTTCCGTTGCGATTTCGGGCGGGAAAATAGGTTTTCCGCTGCCAAGATAGTTGCATCACCGCAAAGTCAATGACAACCAAATGCCCGAATTGACAGGGTGCGATATTCATAAGTATGAGTATATGAAACCTTCCTTCTGCCGATCATGGGCCCCTCTCTTCCTTCCCCCTGAAAGTAATAAAAATTTATTTGCGCGTGTCTTTCACTGCGCTGCCAATTAGCGCGATTGGCGATAACCATAATTGAATATCAATGATAAAAAATAAATACGCGAGCGCGTAAAATAATTGTGGACTGAAGTTTTCAGCTGGCAGCAGGCGCATGCAAAGTACCTTTGTTCGCAGATAAACAGCGGCGGCAAATACTAAATAATTATTTAACGCATATTTGTCGCCACTCGATATTTGCCTTCCACATTTCTAATTCCTAACCATATTTACCCACGTTCGCCAATGACAATTTTCCATGGAAAGTCGCTAAGTAGCTGCGCAGCTGCAAAAACCTATCGTTCCTACGCCAAGAATAGGCCTTTTCGCGTGGAAAACCATTGCAAAAACAAGAGCCTGGTTGGAACAACTGTGTTTGATTTAAGTTATCCACATTCGTTGACGTTCCGAGCGGTTTGGCTGTTTTTAATAATTGAGTTCAGACGGCGAAATGGCAATGGAATCCATTTGCACAGTTGGCTTTCGCGCTCAAATGGAATGGATAGGTATTTCGCTGTTGTTCGGCAAGTAAACATGAATAATTATTAAATAATTGTAAATGACACAAATATTTTCGGAGGCCGAATTTATTTTTCGCGTTCTTCTATTTCTCTGCCGCAAGGTCAGCCAAATTAAGGCGAGGGAAATATTTCAAATACACTAATACTTCTATGAGAATAAAATTTTTTCTTTTACTTAAACAACAGCCTATCAAGAAGTATTTAAGCGAAACAATACTTGTGCAATCCACTAAATTTCTGGAGAGCAGATTGGCGAATGCAAGCCGCACCAATTTCAGGGACTCGTCGGAATAAAATAGAAAAAATAATAATTGTAAGGTAAGACATCGTTTTCTGCGAATGCGCGTTGTGTCACTGAGCAAATCCCAACATCTACCTTTACTAATCACTGCAACTAATTGCCAGCTAGTAGTTAAAGTGCTACAGACACGCTTCCGCATAAACCAGTTGGACACACAAAGTGGGTGCTTTGAGTAATCTTCTGATGTTTTCCATATTTCCCATAACCATGTGCACTTGGACTTGCAATGCGACGAGTCATATTCGGCCAAGTCCGCCGAATGGAGTAATTCAGGGCTCGATCGCTGGGTCATACGTGTATCTTATCGCTCTTGAGCATTGTTTACCTTCGGGAATGTGGCCCTGGGCTGCGATCGTGGCAAGAGCACGGAAAACAGAAGTGGCAGTAGCATTTTACTGGCACAATTCCACCGGGCCAAGTGTCAACAACCCACGGGGGTGTTACCTAGAGTGTTTGTTTTACTTTTATTTTCCCCACGCATCGAATGGCTGACAAACCACGTTGAACTAGCGGGTGACTCAGTTTGGCTACGTATACGTAATGTGCGAGGCACAAAACATGAATTATTGGCGATTAGTGCAGTTGTGAAATTGAACATAAAGTGTACTCAATTGTACTCAATGTTTAGGTCTTATTGGACTACGTAACTTGGGATAGGCCTTGAGTATACCATCCTAGCAATTCTAAATTATCAAAATAAAATACATACTCCATGTGTTTCGAGAACTGGCTTATCTCACACCCTTCAAACCGCGGATTTTATCTGTCGACATCACTTGAACATCAGCCATTTATTTACGCTTATACGCGACTTATAAATTATCAAAATTCGTTAATAAGACGACAGCGGGCTATAAGATAATCTATAAACAATCTGTAATTTGAACACTGATCGCTCGCCTTATAAATTATCAATATTTGCGGCCTGCCGTTTTCGATTGGGTTTTTTGCACGGCAAAACTAATTTACTGTGGCAATCGTTTGTTTGAAAGTTCATAAATTGGGCTGCCCAGTTATGGTTACAATTCGCTGAAAGTCAAATAAATCGTTAATTCTTAGATCTACGAATGGTTATCACATGTGGGTTAAGTTCAGTCGGTCCATGCAACATTCAACATAGATACACACATTCACATAACATAAGGAGGCAGTGGGCTTTACAGTTATGGCATGCAGCTGCGTCTACATACATGCATGCTATGTGCTGATGCGGCTCTGGCTCATTTGCATTTGTATGGATGGGTGTTTTGGATGGGGAGAGGCGGACTAGGTGGAATAGTTAGGTGTTAGTTGCAACTTACCTGCGCACGGGTATCGCCAAATTGTCAACGCTGCGTGACAAACTGGAAACATCTTGACTAGCCCTACGTGACCTGGCACGTTCGCAAATCATAAGGAGCACATCGGGGCAGGCGAACAAAACCAATTAAATGGCAAATTGTGCCAAAACAAAACGGGAGGTCCAAAGAAATAAGCGGAGAAACAATAATGTAAATAAAAATGTGTAATTACGAAATGGTTAATTCAAAATACACCCACACTGCTGCAAGAGAGTGTATCTCGCCTAATCGCGCGGGTTTAACAAACGCCAATTCACGGAATGCACACGTAGTATTGGGAACTAAAGCCCTCCTGGCGAATTGCTTTCTGCCACTGGATATTTCATGGATAAATGTTTTGTAATCGTCACGTCCAGAAAAGAGTCGGCTGAGGTCGTAGAAATAAATAGGAATGGAGGGACACTTGGCTCACTTGTTTTATTTCTTATATATTTTTAACACCATCTCACTTGAGCCTCTTTTTGGCATTTTCCCTGGAAAGCTATCTATCAGAAATGCTAGAATTAGTACTCAGGAAAGTGCTTTTCGAGAATTACCATTTATATGCACTCAATTGATACTATCAGCTTGGTTCTACGCACTCGAAATGTCCAGCTCAACGTGCAAATATACTTAAGCTTGTCAAGGGTGAACAGTTTATAGACCGATATGATATGAGTGCATAGAAATATCCCACGATTCGCGACTATTTCAGTTGCGATTGCCAGAACTCAAGGTTTCGCGAAAACGCCAAAAAGTCGATGACATAGTTTATCTAAATTTGGGGCAATTTTAGGCACTGTAAATTAATGGGAACTCTTCACGAAGGTCATTGCTAAATGGGGCAGTGAAATGGCCAGACACTTCAGTCAAACGAAAACATAAATACTACAAAATGAACAGTCGATTAATAGGTTGGTCCTAAGCTTGTTATTGTTTGTAAGTAATAATCAGCCACTTGGAAAAATTCCAAAACTCGTTTGATGGGCCCAACATTGACCCACAACGCCAGAAAAGCGAAGCTCAATGGGCAAACAAAAGGAATCCCAAGATGGCATGGTGGGGAATATGAGTACGTGTTCAAGATCATGTTCGTGCTGCCTAATTGTAATGGTCCCCGGTCTTTTATGCACCGGAAGTTGGCTCAACAGATTTATTTTATCGTAAGATGTAGTTTTGGGCTTGCTTCTGGACCTTACGATATGGTATAATGATCCCTGAATTAAATTGTGTAGTCCGCATTTACAGATGACCTCAAATAGTTTGGCAAACTCGGCTGACTGAAATGTTTGGCATCTAATCGAAAGATCGGCGTCTTATCGAAACAGTCATCATAAAGATACGAATTCAGAGGAAAGGCCGCTATAGGTTCGCGATACCAGGCAATTGCTGGTCATACTATCTTTGAACTTAACCCCTTTTAAGATCTTTAATATAACTGTTTGGCTTACCAATAGTATTGCGATGTGAGTATAATGTTTTGCATTGTGTATTTAAATGTCTTTAGGATTTCGCGCTGAGTTCATTACTTGCTTACACTGAGGTAGAAACCGTATCCAGACCAAACTAAATGCAATTTCTGTAGACTAGGGCTAAAATAATTACAGGAAATTGATGAATGTTTTGTGAAAATATCGGATACCGATTAGCTGGTCGATCAATCATAGCCACGCCATTTGACAGATGAGTTAGAGAAAAGGGGAAGGTGGCTAGAACAAGCAAAAGATAAATTCACTTGACACTGTTGACTTTTAATGATTCAATTTGGCTGTCACGGCTATGGGAGCTGGAAAATATTGATGACAAAATTAATTAGCTTGTCCGAGGAGCCGTCGGCAGGGAAGCACAAACACTCGTATAATACAAATACCCCAAAGTCGGCCCTTATCAGCAACCAAACACAGCTGACATAAACTGCAGCGGCTGTCTTCCAAACAGTGTCACGTGTATA